GTGACCTAAGATGCACACAAATAATTCACAAAAGAGAACACTCAACAAGAGAATCATAATGAGCACTAGAAAATTTTTAGCCTCACTAGAATCAAAGAAAACTAAATTAAACACAATTTTTGTCTATTAAATTAGTATCTTTTTAACTGAGAAGATTCTACACTGATAACAGTGAGAAGAAAAAGACACTCATATAGTGGTAGGAGTTTTTTAAATTAATTTGGAAAAATTATGAGCCTTAAAAACAGTCACTTTGCATAATCTGTCCTAAGAAATTAACCCTAATTGCTGAAAAAGCTCAAAGATGCTCATTATAGCATTATCTAAGATAATGAAAAATTGAATATCACCTAAATGCCCAATCAGTAACTTATGTTGCTAAGGTGACATTGTAGCAATTAAATGTAGTGTTATAAAGCCATTACCAAGTTGCTTTTTTAAAAAACGGATATAAAAATCATATATTAAAAGGTCTGGATAGATACCAACTGAAAGGATGATCCTAGTTACCTATGAGTAGCTGGAATACCAGCAAAATTTTTCCCACCTTCTATTTTATATTTCTGAATTTTTTGTAATGTGCATGTATTACTTTTACAATGGAAAAAGTAAACTCCATAAAAAATGATCAGCTTTTCTTAAAGTGCAGCTCTGAACAGTGAGGTGTTAAAACAAGCTTGCTTCTCAAGTCATGTTTTCTTCAGATTGAGCTATTTTGAAAACATTCTCATCATACAAAAGATGATTGAAGCCAAGAACACCTAATCTGCTCTAATTTCAGGGTCATCAACCTCAGCCACATAAACAAGCAGGGGAAGATGGATGCTGGAATATGCTTAAAGATGCCTTAAGACATGATTTCTCTCTCTTCCCTGGCCTCATTTTATTTTACTGAATACATCAAACAGATGCTTCTACACATATCAACAGAAAATCCGAAACAGGAAAAAGCAACATCAAGGCAACTCATTTTCCTAGATAATCTTAAAAATTATTGAAAAACAATACTTGAAATTATTTTAATGAAAATAATTTAATTCTTTAAATTATTTTCAGTAAAATAATATAAGTAAATACATAGGTAAATAAATAAATAGATTAGATACAGAATCATTTATTTCCTAACAATGCAAGTCAAAAATTCATAGAATTTAGGTATCGAACGTTGTTTTAAATACAACCAGTCCTACTTCATTTTGTGTAAGCTTTTGTGTCTAAATAAAGAAGAATGCCATAGAAAGTCATCGTAGACAGATGTTACAAGGCAGGCCACAATAGTGGGGAGAGCCTTAGAGTCACAGTCTTAGATTAAATGAAGAGATTAAGTTAAATTAAGAAATGAAAATGGTAGTATAGTGCCTTTAACCATCCAAAGTAAGATTTCTGTCCACATCCCAACAGATGGTCACCCTGATGCAGTTACCCAGACTCTTGAAGACGGGCCACCTCCTTAAGGATAATCCTTGATGCTTTCATCCACCCCCCATATCATATTCCAGGTCATGTAAATTTTACCTTGAAAACACCTTTGCCTTTAAGCAAAGGCACCCTTTCTATTTCCATCACCCTTTCTATTTCCATCAATGTAGATGAAAACAGTAAGAAAATAATAGCATTTATCCAGGCAGGAAATGAAGGGCTGGGCTAAGACAGAGACAAGGATAACTAAGAGAATGGATAGAGATGAGATATACTTCATAATAAAAGAAAGGAAAGGCAGGAATTGATGATTGATTAGATATAAATATGGTGCTATGTTTTCTGAAGCAAAAAAAAAATGGGCTACATGGCCTAACAATCATGAAGGTACTTCTGAGTTCAATGGGGCAGAATATTTGCTCTCAGGACCAACTCAGAAAATCCATATAGAGGGATTTTTTTTTAAGTGAGCATGACTGGGACTTATAAAATGGGAGTCAAGATGAAAGAGAAGGGAGAGCCAGGCAATAGGTAGAAAAGGAAGCCCTCTTTAAGCTTTAAGTACTACGTTATTTTTTTTTCTATTCAAGCATGTTCTCTTCCGCTGGAAAATGCTTTGTTAAACTGATCTGAGGTCGTTTCCATCCTCATGAGAAATCTGATGCAGTATTTCATCCCAAACATTATAAAGCTTGGCATTAAAAGCTTCCCCAAGTCTATTTTCCCCTAGAGTCAGGTACCGTTTGTCATTTGCTCACACATTCCTTCTGGCAGACTGCTTTACGATGAATCCCGTGGGCAGCTATGGGGCTGGAGAGCATCCTTCACACATGACTTCCCACCAAGTCCAGAGGCCGATGGGCACATGTAGAAAACCAACTCACCCCGTTATTGATGGCGGCTCCCATCTGGGGCACATACGTGTTGTCTTCTCTTCGTACTGCTCACCTGGGTTTATAATGCACCTCCAAATCTCAGAAAAACAAAACTCAAAACCTAAAAATTAGTTTTATATTACAGTGTTCGTCCCTGTGAATCCAAGTATGTATTGTTCTTTGGGGGAGCTCGCCCAAGCTTATGTTCCAGCAAGACAAAAAGTCAGTATATTCTCAAAGACAAAAGGATTGTGAAAAAGGGATATGAACAATATTTTTGACTTATGGCCTGAAAAACCTTTTTTATATTCATAAAATGGAGGCCAGGAGAAAAATATCTTTGAAATTAGGACTAAAAAAATCAAAGACATTGATCACTATAGCTATGGAGTTACATAGAGAAACAGTCTATTTTTAACTTTGATAAAAGAATTTTTAAAATCCCAAGTTATTAAATTTGGAAGGAATAAGGGCAAATGAGATAAATATCAGACTATAAATTTTATCTTACCAATTAATTTGGTAAACCACTAACTGTCTGTGTTTGTAAATCTAGTGTGTGGTCTAGAAGAGAAATTTTTGGTCCATAACATAGCTCTCTGGTATACTTTTAATATACAGCCAAAAATGAGTTTTGAATACAAACCCTTTGGGGAGTTGTGGGAAGAGTACAGAGTATACATTTTTTCTCACCTTGTGACAGGGAGGAATAGGGGTAAATGAATAGAGAGAGACCCTAAGAACAAAACACCCTTAAATAGCAGTTTTACAGTCCTGTGGTCTGGGTGGTGGTCTGTTTTACCCTTAGAATGCATATCTAGAAGCCATTACAGTTAATGGGCATAGTGGAGACAGAAGAAAACAAATCTCTGAACACAACTTTTCAGCTTATTCTCTGTGAATATAAGATGAAGTTTCTGGTATCTATTAATGTTATTGATTAAACCGCAATGTTTTTATGTATCTAGAATGTAGTTTATGCTTACAATTTTTCTCTTAAAGATTTTCTGTACCTTATGGCTCCTTCATATGTAGTGGAAATTTTTCTCTGTTCAAAGGGCAGCCATGATGTAAAAAAGGCTCCCCTTCTGGGTCGCCAAAAGGGGATTCCTAAACCACGAGGGCAGGCTTTTGTGGTAGCTAAAAGCAAACACAATCTCTAACACATGTCTATCTCTGAATGCCCTCCTCCCCCGCCAGTGGTGACAGCTTTCTTTAAGGAGAGGGTTAGCCCCGCAGCAGGGCTCGCACACCCACAGCTCCAATGGACCTCTGGCATTCCATGGTCAGTGTTTGGGTGCCGTCTTAGTCTGTTCTGGTTGCTATATCAAAATACTCAAGGCTGGGTAATTTGTGAGAACAGAAATGTATTTCTCACAGTTCTGGAGGCTGAGAAACCCAAGATCAAGGCTCTGGCAGATCTGTTGTCTGGTGAAGGCTGTCTCTCTGCTTCCAAGATGGCACCTTCTTGCTGCATCCTCACATGGCGAAAGAAATGGAAAGGCAAAAGTTCCTAGCTAATTCCCTTAAGTCCTTTTATAAGGGTACTAATTCCTATTCACGTGGTTAAAGCCCCCATGACTTAATTACCTCCTAAATTCCCCCCTTGTGAATTCCTAAATTCATACTATCCCATTGCTTCTTAGGTTCCAACATGTTAATTTTTAGGAGACACATACATTCAAACTACAGCAGGCATAGAGTCTTGCATAACTTCCCACACACAATGATCTTATAATTTCAGGAAATGAAAAGAAACTTCTCACCCTGGGGGAGTGGGAAAGTAGAGAACAGATTGCAGACCTAGAGTAGCCTATGTCCAAAGTAAGACTTCAATCCCTCCTGAAGACCGAACAGATTCTGCCAAGCTCCAGAAGAAAACCAGACATATTTTCAAGGCATCGAAATGCTGTGCAAGGAAAAGGCTAATGCCACTCAATATCACAGCCATCAGAGCTGTGCACACATAGACAGATTCCTGTTTCACTTGTCAAGTTCAAACAACAGCCCATATAGCATATTCTAGAAACCTTGCCCCAGTACTTAGATCTATCTTTAAACTATCATAAACATAAATATCAATCTGTGTAACCTTTCTGGAGGACAATTTTGCAATACCTTTCAAAAGCTTTTGAAATGTGTATACACTCTTGGAATCACCAATTTCCTAACTAGGAATTTGTTCTAAAAATAAAAAATCATGAATTTATTCAAAGATTTAGCTACAAGGATGTTCGACTTATATGTGTTTATAGTAATGAAAAACTGAAAACAACCAAATGTCTAGCACTAGGGGACTGAATAAATAAATTCTAATATATTAGTAAGAAATGCTATGCACCATTTAAAACTAGTATTATAGAAGAAAATCTAAGGACATGATATATTAACTGAAAAGAAAGGTTATAAAACAATATGATTCCATTTGGGGAAGGTATCAAAAAATAAAAATAAGCAAAATTAAGAAAATCAAGATCTTCATCACCCCGTTGACATTTTGGTGTAGCTTCTGAGGTTTATACTATGAATATATGCTATTTAAAATAAGAAAAGAAAATAAAGCTTTTTAATCACTACTTTTAAATTTCAAGCAATTAAATACTTCTTACTATTAATTATCTACAAAACTGTTCAGGGGGGAAAAAAGAAAGAAAGAAGAAGAAAATTAACCTGAGTTGTTTTTACATGTTATTTCTTATTCAATTTCATTTAAATGTAGGATCAACTCAACTTAAATTGTCCGCTTTTGGTACAAATGGAAGATAATTAGAGTGTATATTTTCTCCAAAAAAGTAGGAGAGAGATCCCTTGCTTTTTCTCTGAATCCTTTATCATTAAAACACTATGATTAAGATTACTTCTTCTGTTTACCAAACTGGATGAATTCTAAAGTTATTTTTTTCCAAGGTGAAGGTGTTAATTTGCATTACTTCTGATTACTCATTCAGGAGAACGAGCCAGGTTGCATCCGCTATATATTATGCAGTGAACTGTTGATTATCTGCGGAGACAAGGACAGTACAAATAATAAAAATCCATAGAGAATACCTAAACTTCATTTTAGCCAGAAGTGTCAACAGTTTGCCAGAGTTGTTAGCAAGGAACAAAGCTGATTTGAGTTTTATCTCCCAACTCCCTTCCATATGCTTGAGGATTATGCTAATAAGTAAAATGACCAGCAGCAGCGGAGGCAGCCTGGGTAATTCCTAGTTGGGAGAATTGGTTTCTGATTAATCAAGATTTGGCTGGATTGGAGTACAGACATGCAACTGTCTCCCAATGAAGATCCTAAACATTCTTTAAATATTCATTGTCTAAAAAATTCCATTTACTTAACAGCATGTTTACTAGAATTTATTTCACCTATGAAATACATTTACTGTAACACCCATTTCTGCCCCCCCCCCCAGAACGCTACATAGACAGAATAAACAGTGGACTCATTTCTCTTTGTCATACTATCCTACTAAACTATCCAATTAGGATTTCTAAATATGTGTTATTTATAGTAATCACAATTCCATATACTAGATCCATCTATTTTGACAATATGCAATTAACCTAAAATTCAATAACCTAAAAATTATTATGTTTCTGAAACTTGAAAGGAAAATGTGTCCTTCTGTGACCTTTCTTTAGTCAGTATAATCTACAGAAATTCTACACTCCTACATATTTACACACATACATAAACCCTAGCAGTGTCCATGATTTGATTTAACAGATGCCTTTGACACTCCATATGTCCACATATCTCATTTTAAATTTGAAATTAAGAAAGTTAAGACAGGCCTTTTCAGACCTTATGAGAAATATCATTTCTCTAAAACTGCTTTTCTTTGAAGGAGTATCATAAATTGGCTGACAGGGATGTTAACTGCATTAACTTTTTAAGATTCTTTCAAGCCACTGTCTTTTGTGAAATATCTGTAAATTTAGGTTGGTGGTTCATATGGCTTCCCTCCCCCCCAACAAATATAATACAAATAAGACAAATTGTACTAAAACTCTCTTATGCTTTATTGCTTAACAGCCAGTAATAAGGCAGACTCAGAGAGCAGATTCTAATATCAGAAGCATGGCATGGCTTTAAATATCTTCTATTGCACTGGTTAACAGATTAAAATCAGTCCCTTTGCTAGGAGATTCAAATTGCCCCTTCTGGACTTTTCCACAAGAACTTTTTGGTCTTTTCCTTTTGCAGTGTGATAAGACTTTCTTTATCCAGTTGGTACATAACTCGTGTTTCCCTCCCAGGAAAACTTTCCATTTTTACCACAACCTAAGAAAACATTAGGCATCCCGAAGAGAGGCTGATTTATGCTTTGCTGGGTTTCAACAATATAACAACTCTTTTTATTGTGAATATTGCAAGTCATTGTCACCAAGTTAAATGGCAAACCTGAGCAATCATCTTCAGCGACTCTATTGTTTTAAGTTCAAGAAGCTTCTCAGCACCATACCAGGGGGAAAAAATTACCTACGTAAATCTTTCTTGGCCCATATATTTGCTTTCTGACTCAGGCTTTGTGGCTTTAAATAATTGGGCATTTTCTCCAGAGTTGGAAGGGATAGTGGCTTTTCTGTGTATATGATCATTTCAACTCAAGCCTCAAATTCTCTTCCTCAGTGTCGTCCCTAAACAGGCAAAAAAAAAAGAAAATTATTAAAAAGGAAAACCAACACACTAAAACATTGCACTAAGATTTCTGACATTCATTTCCAGATTTGGGGGTAATTTTTCCTCAAATGTTATTAAAAATTGTAAAAGATAAACACATAATTCCTACCTAGAAACGATCTGATCATACTTATTACCACATCCCATAAAATTCAGCTACAACATTTATTGATCTTTCAGGACCTCAAAATGTCCCTGTTATTTCCAAAAATAAAACTTTCAAGAAGATTGAAAAAAAAATTAGCATCTACCTAAATATGAATGAAGGTGCCATATATAGACCACATATTCATCAGGCATTCGATAATCGCCTACTCTAAGTAATACAAATTCTAGTGGGGTAGGGAAAATTATGCCTTCTATGATAAAAATATGATGCCATTTTATGACGCAAATTTTTCCAGAATTGGCAATGTTCTTTTTTTTTTTATTTTTAACACTTTCCTTACTCTTTTACCTCATTTCAACTTGTTGGCAGTAATCCTCAACTGCGAAAGGTTTAACTCCAAAGGGAAGACGTACAATTTTCCCAGAATCAATCTGAACTCAGTGTCAGTGTAAGGGGCTGATTCTCTCTCACACACACACAGATGCCCAAGTCCACACACATTCCTTCTTTACCTTTCCAAAAATTAACTTCTGATTGTTTCTTTTTCAACCTTGTGGGGGAGGGGGGAGGATGGAGATCTGGGTTTATTCCCCTAACACAATCCACATTTGTAAAGTCATTTCATTGCGAATACTGAAATGTTTTACAGTTTAATAATAAAAAAAGAAAACAAACTGAAAATATGGTATTTATGAGTCTCATACTGACTTTTAGAAAGAAGTTGGAAATTAATCATTTTTTAAAAAACGAATGAATCAAACACATTTTGTGAGGTCTTTTTTAAAAGCTATTTATGCAACGAAATGTTACCTTAGGTTAAACATCTACTGCTTCTCTCTCTGTTATGTGAAGCTAAACTCATTTAAATTGCATACACTTATTTTAAACCAAAGTATTAAACTAAACTAGGTCCTTTATCTCTGCTATTTTAAAAAATTCAAAAATGTCCAGGGTAAAGAGAAGATAATTTCATAGATTCCCTATGAGAAATGTTCCCCTTTAAAGGCTGTGTTACGGAGGCAAAGAGAAATGGGGAATCGAGCAATGTTCTTCTGATTTCATTTAATTGTGTTAGTTATTTGAAAAATGCAAAGCAGTCTGGTTTTTCTTTAACAGCAATACTGTGGGGCCTGAGATATCTAGACATCAACCTTTCGCAGGCAAAGCAAGACTGAAACATTCTAATTAAGAATCTATCTCTCTCCTTTCCTCCACAAGTAAACTTCTCAAAGGAAACATCCCAAGGATTTCCCTGGTGCTGCCCTTTCACTCCTGCATGCTGGACAACCTAGCTCCCAGCCCTACCATGCCCTTTCAATGCTCTCATTGATGTTACCGGTGACTACCTGATTGCTAAACCTTGTGAAAACCTTTCAGTCCATATGCTGACACATTCCTCCATCATTCATCCCTTTAGAGGCACAAAGATGACCTTTCCCATGAAGCCTTACAAACCCACGGCCCAGCCAGGGACCCCGGGCATCCCAATCTCCATTCTCAGGAAGCGCCTCTGCATGTCCTATTAGAGTATTTACTATGCAGCAAGGTGCCCATTTGTTTGTGTCCCTCACTGACTATGAGCAATGCGAATGCAGAGAGCTTTAGCCTTATTTATCTTTCTACCCACATCACCTACCCAGCGTGTAGACTTGGCTGGCAAATGATGCCATTTTTTCCAATCTCAGGAAGTAGAGCAGAAAGCCCTGGCAGCACTGCATGGTAGTTATTCTTCATGGCATTAAGACAGAGAGGTTTTGACTAATTTTTTTGGCGGCACACTTCAGCAAAGTTTTCCTCCATACATTCCTTAGCCCCAGCAAGGAGGATTCCAGTCCAGACCACTGTGTTGACAAACATCACAAAGCATCTTTTGTGCCTGAAACGGAGCCTGAACAGAAGTGGGATGTGTGGTGGGAAGGGGACAGGGAGTTAGGCAGAAGCCTAGAAAGTTCCAAAATAAATCCACTTTTCCTGCCTCCTTCCCCTTCTCTATGCATTTTCATCTCTTTCAGAAGCACTGACACCTCCTAGCCATCTAATCAAGACAAATCTTTCATGCAGTAATTAAAATACAGCTCATCTTCAGGGGGAAGAGAAAAACAAAGGCTGAAACAATTAGCTGACTGTGCCAACCAGCATGGTTCACCCCCTCCCGCCCCCACCTTCTCTCTCTCTCCCCGCTTCCTTCAATTGCTTGCTTTTAAGTACTATATTTTCACAGGAAAGAAAACTTCATTCCTGCTGAAAGGTAAGACACTGAACAGACACTTAGACTGGGAAAATGCTTAGAACTGTCTTAGACAAACGCTGGGTTCCCTGCCTTGCTAGACTTGTACTAGGCATGAAAGGGAGGCAGAGATACTTGCTAATCTGTTAGCGTCAGATTAGAAGAGAATATTGCATTAGCATGCAAAAGGACACAGGCCAGCAATTCAGAGAAAGACAAGGCTTCCCAGAATGAGGACGGCGGCGGAGTAGAGAGGTAAATTGTTCTAATAATAACTCAGAAGGTGGAAAATGAACTTGCACCTCGTAAGGCTATGTGTGCCTTGATTACATTAGCACTACTTGTGATATGATGCAGTATATTCATTTTTATTGTATTAGTTTTTGAATAGTCTGTAAAAGGCCAGTGTCTTATTTGGCTCCCTGAGCCACCTGTCTTTTCTACGACATTCCCTACTAGCACATTCAAGCATTAGCGTTCAGGGTTTCTAAAATCTTTTAACCATTGATGGCTGCCAGCAGTCAAATTAAATTCAAAGGGTTTAGTATAGCTTCAGGTTTTAGCTATATAATTTACTAAGAATGCCCAAAGCACTTGCAATCTAATTTGCAGTTCAGCAATGAATACCATTTCCTAACGAAATCTGCCTGAAATTTCCTTTTGAGGCTCCAGAAAAAAATACACTTGTGACACCTGTGTGTCTTCCTTCTGGCACTGACTTCAAAAAAAAAGAAAGAAAGAAAGAAAGAAAGAAATCTACAGAGAAAGAATGATATAGCTAGTGCAAGGTGGCACAAAAAAGAGAACCAAGAGAATGGATTTGTTTTTATTGCCAGGTCATTTGGGTTAATACAGGCCCCCTGTATTTCTGTTTTAAATTTAGCTTTTTTAAAAAATTTCTTCTAAGTCCAATATTAGTGTTGTGCTTGTTACAGCTTCACTGGCAACCAGCATAGACTTCACCAAAATCTTGGCTCTCTGAAAAATAAGTAAATAAAAACCACTGCAGAAAACCCCAGATTTGATCATTTCCCTATCTTTATGGAAGTAAATTTAGTCTGTTCTCAGGGAGAGGCAAGAGTGCCAATTCTTAATCCTAGTATTAATTTCATTTCTATTACTTAGTCCCAATGCCTACAGTGTCCTTGCACCTCTGTTCCCCCCCTTATAGAAGGGAAATAAGGCAAAAAGTGACTTTTAAAAGTCTACAGCTAACTTACAGTACTGTTTGTCTTATAAAAAGATTGCCCTCTCTTACCTAGATGACTCAGACTAAGGTATGAGGAATGCTTAAAAAGTGTTTTGATAATCTTCTGTGAAAGCTGAGAATATAAAATGTTATTCAACTCTCACTTTGAGATTTCACCTTCTCTCTTCCCAGTGTACAGGAATTCTCATTCCTAGTCATAAGGACAAAGTAACCCAGGGAAGTGCAGCTAACAGTTTGTGGGTAAAACCTGCACTCTTGCAAGTTCTCCCTGTCACAGAGATGCTATTCACCACTAAGGAGCCTACAGAAATCAAATCATTGGGCTGAATTAATTTAATTAATAGGAGGCATAATTTGGAAGCCTGTTAGAGAAGCCAGGGATGCTAGCTATACCCACACAGCGTTAATCACTCACCGCCAAGCCCACTAAATGTAACTCTAGAAATCGAAGCATTGGAGTACAAATTGGAAAGAGCCAAGACTCTAATGACTCTAATGATCTAAATCTGGTTGTTGATCTCTCTCTCCTTTCATTTCCCACTCAGTAAGCCCCTTTATACCTTATAATAAACTCTATAGTTCATAAAGTTTAAAAATACTAACAGGGAAGCATCTTTAATGTTTTTAAAGCCTACCGACATAGCTTCCCTTGAAGGGAAAACTGAGTTGTCCCAAAACAAGAGGAGCAGAAGCCCAAGTCTCTGTCCGAGCGCCTGTACCCCAGGCCACACCTCTGCTCCCACACCCTCTGCTTGTGTGCCAGCTTCCAGGGTGCTGCAGATGCCCAAAAATTATGGCAGAAAATGAAACAAAAGTCAGTGCTGCAACATTATGATTTTTTTTATTTCTATCACAATGGAATAAAAGGCATAAACAACCAGTTCTATACAGACAAAAGTGAATCTGCTTTTCAGGCATCACCTTTCTCCTCACTCCCAACTGAACCAGTCTCCACCCACTTCCGCTTATAACAAGAAACCATATTTATTTGTAGAGCATGAGACAGAAAATTAATATCGTCAGCCATTTGCTTTCCAATTAATTTGGTGAAGCAGCAACTGAATAATCCAATTCTATCAAGTCAGAACATGAGAAAGTCAGCTGCATAGCATTTGGTGCTATTAGGAGGAGGGGGAGGAGAAGGAGCTGGCATTTTTAAATACCTTCTATGTCAGGCACTTTGCTGGGCCCTTGTGTGCATTCTTTCATTTTCACCCTTACAAGAACCCCACAATGAAGGATTTATTATCTCCTTTTTACATAAACTCTCTTTAGATAGAAAATGTAAATGCCTTTCCAAAGATCACAGCACGAGTATGTGGCAATGCTGGGATGGTATCCAATGTCTCTCTGACTCCTTGAGTTAACATGAAAATGAACAAACAATAAAAATTGTGACACTTTCTGTATAATTATAATTCGATGAGGGTCTGTACTTGCTCATTTTAATAATTCTGTTTATTTTTGCTTTAACTTTTCTTTGCTATTATATCTTGTGGTTATCTTAGATATAGTCATTTAGTTCTTAAGAAACAACTCAGTCTTATTTGTTCTTTTCTTTTGTTTCATCTTCATCCTTTCCTTTCTCCACTGATTTGTTTCTATCTCCCCAAGACTTAGGCAGGCAAGATGACAGAGACTATGACTTAATGGGAATTAACGAATTGTGTTTAATTTAAAATTTTACATATAGATTATTACATTTTACAGATACTTCTTACATGCATTTCTGATTGGAAAAACTTTCCAGAGGACTAAGGTCCAATAAAATCCCACATGATGTACAGTGTATGTGTCAGACATCTAAAAATTCTTGAGAAAGCAATTACACTGAGTACTAGCTAATAATAAACCAAATGGACAGCTATGATATGAACTGCATTTCCTTAAAACTCTACCCCCACCTGACTCTGCATTTCAATCTTTGCTAACTCTCTGCAAAAGAACAGATGTTCTGCTGTGGGTTGAGAAATCAACAGTTACCATTCATATGTTCCAAAAATTCAAGGGCCTAGTGCTGCTGTTTTAAGGATGCTAATTAATTCTAGCCCTTATGCTCCAGTGTTCTTGCAGTTTCAATCAATTGCAATCTCACAGGACCTCAGTACCTACTATCTCCTTTGAACGCCTATGGGGAAAAAAAAACTAGGAAACGTACACTTCACTAACCTGGAGGGGGAAAGGATTAATCTAATATGCTCTGATTTTGTATATTTCTCATATCATTATCATTGCCATCCTCTCTCTGGTACTGATTTGAACAGGTTGGGCACAGCCCAGCTGACGAATATAATTGAAACAATGCCTAGAGATGCCTTTTGGTCATATTTTTTCCCCATATATTTACCATTCAAACATAGACTAATTTTGGAGGCAGGATAGAAAGAGCTACTTCTGAATCCATTCCTGTTTTGTTTGTTTTTGTATATATTTATATCTAGTGTTGATTGTGCATAATACTCAGTGAGGAGCATGTTAAAAATGCAGGTTCCTGGGCTCAAAGCCCAAAGATTAATAGAGCTGTGAAGGTATCAGGGTATCTGCAGGGTTTTTTGTTGTTGTTGTTGTTGTTTTTTAATACATGCCCTATTCTAAGGCAGATGTTCTGAGGACTTCAGGAAATGCAAACATGGTCCTGAACACAGATGCTACCAATCTGTGTGACCTTTGCCCAAGATGAGAGCATCCAAGCAGAAGCGGTGCTGCGGGTTAGGGATGGGGTGAAGATCCCATCCCGTTTACATTAACGAACCCTGCTCTGCTGCCCGGCCAGTCAGACATCCTTCACACCAGAGTTTCCCATGGTCACCTGTGGTTTGAATCACCTGGAGTGATGACAGTCACTGGGAGAGAGTCCAGGTATTTGCCTTTGAAGCAAGCACCCCAGGTGAGTCTTATGCACAGACCTGGGGCAGGGGGAAGAATTAACCTAATATGTGCTTATTTTGTACATTTCTCATACCATTGCATTGCTTCCCTCTCTGTTCATTGATTCGAACAGGTAGGCACAGCCCAGATGACAAATATAACTGAAACAATCGAAACAGCAGTCGGGCGGGCTGCTGGGTCCCACCAAAGCAGGCATGCGCCGCGAACGCCGCTCAGCTGGGAAGACGGCGAGACCTGGGCTGGAATCCAAGGCTTTGCACTTGCAACTGCCTGATATGAGCAAGTTCCTTAACCTTGAGCAAATTTCCTAATCTCTCCGAGCTTTATTTCTCAAATATCTTCAATTCTGAATAACAGCATCACCTTTCGAAATGTTGTGAGTATTAAGTATGCCAACGTGTGGTGGCAAAATCTATGGTCCAGAGCAGAGCTGTGAAAATAAAAGCAGTGAGGGGCTCACCTTTGTGTGTTGCCCACTGGTCCGAGGAGCAGGGCCTGTGACTCTTTCCACCAGCTATTTCCACGAGCTGAGACACACAACATTCTTGACTAAAAATTGTCAATTTTTTTGTCTTAGGAAACTATGGGAGGGGGTTGGGGAAGAAGCGATAGAAATAAAGAACACAGGCGTTGTGGACTGAACGTCCGTGTCCTCTCAAAGTTCCCGCGTGGAAGTCCTAACCTCACCTGACGGCATTGAAGGCGGGGCCTCTGGCGCACTCATGAATGGGACTGGGGCCCTCAGAAGCGGCCAGAGAGGTGGCGCCCTCTTTCGGCCGTGCGAGGACACTGCAGTCAGCCGCCTGCAACCTGGAAGAGAGAGAACTCGCCAGAACTCTCCCACGCTGCCACGCTGATCTGATCTTGGATTTGCAGCCTCCAAAAGTGCAAGAAATGAATGTTTGTTGCGTAAGCCACCCAATCTACAGCAATTTGCCATAGCAGCTCCAAGTGACTAAAACAAGAAGGTATCATGGTATCCGTCTCTTCCCTGACACCTGAATTCACATCATATCCCAAGATGGGGAGGACTTAGGGCCAACGTTTGAAGGAGCTGTTCTCTAAAGAGGCTTTTTGAGACTGTATACCTAAGTAAGAAAGTGAGGCAAAGACGTGGGGAGAGAGCCCGTCTCCATTTCTGTGTGGGATCCATTGCCGCTCAGAAACCTACAGGTGGGCATCATTGGATGAAGCAAAAGATGAGACTTGCCATAAGTATCAGTGGCCTCACAGCTGCCACCGTTAGAAATGGCAATGGAAAGACTTACTCAAATTGCTTTGGGGGCTGGAGGCCAGGAGGTCACTGCAGAAAGCAAGGAACACAGTGTAATGCTGCTTAATTTCTAAAGCCAAACATTCAGTTGTCAGCACCTGCCAGTCATGACTGGGAACCCCACGCACACCTGCAGAGGGCTTGGCAGGAAAGCTCCATGCCCTGCAGGGGCAGATGAGGGACAGGAGCAGCAACTCTGGGTTACCGGTATCATCATGCCTTGCTCTGCCTCCACAGTTGGGTAAATGTTCACAGTAACAATTTTCATCAAATGCCTGTTATTGGTCCCAAGGGAACCAAACCAAGCAAGAGCAGAGAAAAATAAATGCTTTTTTTTTGCCAAAACTAAATGTCACAATAAAAGCTCAAATGATGGTAACTATCATTTCTACATGGGCTTAGTGTCACTGATTTCAAGCAAATGATTTTAACTTATATTTGGTACAGTCTCCTCATCTGTGAAATGGCCTAGTTGGTAGAGACTCTCAGTGTTTGATATACGAAGATCAAAATAGCTCAAGATGATATACAGAGAGTATACAAAAGAGTCAAGAAATTAAGGGCTTTTTCTGCGTCTGATGGTCAAACAGTGATGCCATCTGTGAATTATATCATATTCAGATGAGGGGTAGCAAACGTGCAAAAACCTGGGTTGCTCTGCCAGTAAGAAGCTGAATGACCTTGAGCAAGTCCTTTCAGCGTCTTGCTGAAAGGGAAGAGGTGTACAAAGCCTATGTCGTCCATACGGTTCCAGGTAGAAGATGTCAGGTCTTGAGAAGAGCAACTAAAGATATGATCCCCTTAGGATGCCAAGGGAGTTACATCACCCAGTGCTTACAGGATTCCAGATGTTGACTGAGATCTTCTATAAGCAAAAAGAAACATTGAAAAGCCTTGTCAAGCATTTTGTAGTCATTTGGTAATGCAGTCTTGAATGTGTCTATCTTGAGCACACCCAGATGTTTATACCATTTGGGCGTGTGGTAAAAAGTTAATGTTTCACTCAACGAGATGCATCGAGGCTCCTTTCTGGACAGAGTGGGTGACACGCTGTGGTCACCAGCTTGGTGATGACATTGATCATTTGAGTTCAACCCACTGTGTTCATTTATTTGTTCACCAACAACTATTTACCATGCAAATTTCCCAAGCTAGAAACTGTGCAAAGACTTAAGAAGTGCAAAGGTATCACCCTTGTCTTCTCTGAATGTGAAATCTCACTTGAAGAGATAAGTATCCAAGCAATTACCAAACAAGATAGTATATCACAAGTATCACATGATCTGAGGCAATGAGTGCCATCTCTTTTAAATGTATGGACTTTAAGTTTAATCAATGTCTTTCTTCAGCAGAGTGAGGCATCAATTCCAGATGGAGTGCCCCAAGGTCTTTCCAGTGAAAATGGAATTTGCACCGGCATATAATGGATGACTGTAAAGGGGAGCATGAACTTGAGGAAGCTTGCTCTAGGAAGAGAAAATTAGCTGAAAGGCACTGAGTTGGGAAACCTCAAAGTAAGCAGAACAGAGCAGGTGATGTCTTGCACTGCTGCTCAATGTGTCAACCACCTATGCGTCCCCACTCCCTGTCTCTATACCTCATGAAGTTAGTCCCCTGAAACCAATCCTTATAAACAGCTCCTTGACCCAAAGCACTTATTTCTTTTAACCAGAATTAATCAGTTCATTAAGTGAAGTGGTTAGTTGCCAGACCACAGTTTAGAGGTCTATAGATCCAATCTTTTCACTCACACAGATGAAAAATGGGCCTGCCCACGTTTGCTCACACCCAGTAAGAATAAAAGAGTGTGTGGCCCCCACTCTCCTCTTAGCTTTAGGCATATCTTCTGCCGTTAGCTAACCCAGTCGTTCTAATCCACAATAAAGCCATGGGGACACGTCAAGAGCATGAGTGGCAAAAAGCCAAACCATTGTACTTCTCAGTGGAAAACATGTTTCATAAATATCCCAGACATATCTGGATTTAGCAGTATAGCATTGCTCTATTGAGTGTGTAATTAATCTTGTTAGCCATTAGCCATAGGTGATACTATGTCCCTACAATGAACTGTCTTTGCAAATCAGCAAGACCTCAAGTAGAACATCACCAACAGCTAGTGTTGGAAAATAAACTCAGGACTAACACCGAGAGAAGACATAAACATCTCTCCGTGAAAGAGAGATGTCTAGCGGTAACCTCACAACTGAGTTGAATTCCTCCTCTTTAATAAGTGTTGGCCTAAAATAATCCTCATTATTTTATGTAGTTTTCAGTAGTTTGAGTATTTTAAAATCTCACGAAAAGATGTTTACAAATAAATTATCTCTTCGTAAGGTTTCTATTTCAATTATCTTCTGTAACACAACAGGTCTATTGTGTCAAAGTTCGGTGACTGTTCCTTCATCTCACACGTTCTGCCCTTTGATGGGTTCCTCTCAATTGGCAGTTTCTATTTATATTTCGACATATTAGTATAACAAATTTAAATGAAATCCCGCACTTGTCTCATTAATTAGCATTTGGCAATGGGCCTGATTAAATGCCCTTGGCAGCAAAATGATTTAAGTATCAAAAAGGTTATTTTTATCATTTATTAAAAATGCCTGTGAGGGAACTATTATCACCAACTTCCCAACCTCTGGTGTAGCTCTTAATGCACCTCTGCAGGTTGTATTGAGTAACTGTTGGTCAGCGTGGTCAGGTTTCCTAACAAATGAGGAAAGCTTGTGTGAATGAGAGGAGTTTGTGATTAAGTTTTTTAAGTTTAAATGAGTAAAATAATTCTTCTGCTAGTTCATGCTGGAACTTCAAAAACAAGGCTGTCTCCTTGTTATTTATATTTTCTTCTTGATATTGATATTTATCGATATTAATTCTTTTTTAAAGAAGAATAAGAAATAAATTTTAAAATTCAAATTTTATTTTTTAAGAAATAAAATTTAGTTTTATTTTATTTTTTTATTTCAGAATATTACAGGGGTACAAAAGCTTTGGTTACATAAGTTGCCTTTGCACTGCCCAAGTCGGAGCTATAAGCATGCCCATCCCCCACACAGCGGGCCCCACACTCATTAGGTGTGAATTTGCCCAATATATCAGATTCTTAAGATCTTCTACAAATCGATATACACCATGTAAAATAAATCAAAATATTCATTTGATGTGAATTTTCCAGGTATAATGTTTTGTGTTTTGTGTTTTTCTGACTCATTAGGAGAATTAGAAACAATGTTTCATAATGAGTAATTCTTTAGTGACTAGAATAAAGATTTAAATGTTACAAATGGGGAATTTTATTTAATAGAGGCTTTTCTGAGGTTTTTGGGTTTTTTTTGGCATATGAGTAAATATTTATTGAGCAAAGAGATTTAAGACATAAAGACTCCCTTCAGGGAATTTACAATCTGGGATCTTCAATAAGCATTTTAAGAAGAAACAAAAAAGAAAAATATGGAGATAAAGAGGAACTTACGTTTCAAGAAAAGCTTCAATTAAGTCAGAGAAACTAGAGACTTCTGGGATAAGAGGGGAAATGACACAACATAGTGAACTTAACACCTGAAAGAACCTCAAACTCATGGGAAGAAAGATGCTCAGAAATGCAATCCACCACCACCTTCAATCATGAATAGAGTGTTATTCACATTCAACTACCAAAAAAAATCCAAATATTGAAGGAAATGAGAGTAGATCTAAGCTATATTGTTAATAAAATATTTATCAGTCAAACATTCATAATAAGATGCTGGCTACTTTTCAAATATAACTCGACAGTGAATGAGGTGAATTTCAGATCATGTATGTAAAAGAGGCTTGAAATAATCCTCTGAATATCAATGTTAGTTTTGTAAACAACAGATAATGCACTCAGCACATTGAGTTCCCTCCATCTCAGGAAACGTCCATCGGCATTGGTTGCAAATTCTTAATTTTCTTTTCTTGTTTCCTTAGTGCTACTAAAAAGTAAACAGCTCAGAAAAGAATTACTACCCTATTCCATGGCACAGTTAAGACAAAAGCGTCAGGCGAATAGATTAACTTGTGCAAGCTTACTCCATCAGAGAAGGAAGAAAGACAGGGAAGGAATGTTTATTGAGGTCCTTGTAGGCGCCAGATGCTATACTAAGGCTATTATAGGTATTATCTCTTTTAATCCTCACAATAACCCTGCAAGTTAGTATTAATAGAAATAGGATTTTTTTTTTTTTTTAGGGATAAAAGATCTGAGAATCAGAGAAATTTGCCGGTTTTCACGAAGCTAACAATTAGTGCAAGTAGAATCTTGAGCATGGGTTCGTTGGGCGAAAAATAGCTGTGCTTACCCCATTAGACCACGAGACATCCTTTACAAGAGCAAGGTTCAATAAAACTGCCATGCACTCATTCTGGGCTACAAATATGCACTCAATTTTATATGACTTTCATTATGCCTGACTGAATAAGTGCTATCAGTGACTACCACTTGGGTTGCTTCTATAATCTGTACTATAGGAGTCATATTAATATATGTGTGTCCCAACTTTGTGGGTACTTTTTTGGTAGCTATCTTGCAAAGCCACTATTGCCTGTTTTGTAGATACTATATTTGTTGGCTGATATGATATTGGCAATTATCACCACCAACAACAACCACAACAACAGATTGTATCTTATTACTCTCTGCAGCCTCTGACACAGTGCCTGTAAATAGTGGGTAGTAAAAGGTTGCTCAATTGAACTGAAACATACTGAACTGGATTGAATGGTCTTGAATTATAGGGCCAGGTAGCATAGTCCACATCTTCTTTGATTCCAATCATTCTTGAGCACCAACTGTGTGCCAGGTGACACTGTATTTCCTATTACAATCCATGCTATTTAGTTTTTCCTCCAACATCTTTTAAATAGAAAACAAGCCCCTATTTTTGTTATATCACCGTGGACCCCTTTAACTGGAGATATAATGGTGTTGAACACCTTTAAACCTTGCCATTTAGAGCTACAAGTTAGTACTGTAGACAAGTCTATGGAGTCTTTCTATGTGACGTTTTCCACATTGGGAAAGTGGAAATGTGAACGTTTTATCCTAGAATCTTTTCCATTACAAAAATTCAAGTCTTGAGTTATGTGGGGCATTGCAGGTTCGGAGGAAAAATGGTGAATCTGAAACAATATCTAGATGCCTTGTGATTGACTCCCTATCATGCTCGGATTTCCTCTCCACCTTTTGTTAGAGTTCTGAGGATCACAGTCCCTGAGTAATTTAATCTGCTGGTGTCTGAGCCTTCTCACTGCTGTTCCATGCGGCCATTGCAAAGTGGCCATTCTGGTTGTTAAGATATGCGAATCCTCGGGGATGTAATTAAGGAGGCACAGGGATGCTTTCATCAAAGGACGGTTCATCCTCGGCAGCTCTACTGCTGTTGTGCAGGTTAACTACTTGGCAGTCCTTTCATGTCCCGGAGTCAATCTGTGCTTAAAGGATGGAGGTGAATGGGCAGGACAGGGCAGTTTATCTTTGCTGCCTTCTCATTTATTATCACCTTGCTCCCTCACATGGCACCACCGCAGCTGATCGAAATCAGGGACCACATATCACCAGAGTTATTGGAATGAAAGGCAAAATATATTCTTTGTTCACTCTACATAAGAGTATTTAAAATAATCATGGCAATAAATCTGATGGAAATACCCAAACATAGAAAAGGCTTATTCCGGAATAGGAATTACTGTCTCCTTCTTTTGCTAGCTTCCCATAACAGGATAGACATCTTTCCAATATATGAATATTCTCAATTATCTGATCAGCTCGTGGAATCATGTCAGTCCACACACTCTGCCTGCAGCCAACAAATCTGCTCTTTATTTCAAACAGACAGTGGCTGGTTACCAGCAGGGGAAGTTCAGCTCCATTCCATTTCCTGACATAAGGCCATAACCCTTTGAAAGACTTCAACATAAAGATGGTCGACTAAAATAACATTCATTCAAATCCTACTTCTCCCTGTCCCCCTTAAAAGTCAACACAATCAAAATTTATTAGGTGCCTATCACGTTCCTATAAGGTCAAAGTGAGAGGCCAGAAAAAGTATGAAAGAGACGGAGCAAGTAAGAACTCAGGCAGATGGACTAAAGGAAATGCAACCCTGAAAGAAATCCTGAAGATTTTTGAAAATACCAGAAATCAAACCACTGAAATCAAACAAAGACAAAAAATAATGAAAGCAGAAATTTTTTCACCCTCTGAGAAGACATGACAAGTCAATCAACATAAATGTGACAGCCCAGGACCCTTAACAGAGAAAACTGGAAGCAAAAACCTGTGCCAGGAAGACAGATGGAATTCATCATTCCATTGCAGTATCCTGAAATACACAGGGCTTTGCAAACTGTCCCTCTGAACTATGAAAGTAACATCATTTAACACAGTCATTAAATGCAAGAGCCATAACATGTATAACAACCACGTGTAGGTGACAGCAGTGTGCCGAAAAATACCCAGAACATCTCCGACTGTACCAGCAGACTGAACAAAAGAAAACCGTACAAGGTTCCCACACAATGCTGAAAAGCTGCTGTTCTATCTAAAGCAATTCAGAAGAGTCTATACCCCCTACTTAGCACCATTCAATAAGCACACGATCAGGAATGATTCAGTGGAGAATGGCAATCTATGTGCCAAGAGATCAAACATGAGCTCCACTAACTAGTCGAGGCAGTGGGGGACAGAGGGGAGTGGGAGAGGCTTACATGGCCAGTTCATTTTGAGAACAAGATATGGCTTTCCTAGGAGTCTCCAGCATAGAGTATTTTTGCTGCAATGAAATGTTACCTCTGAACAAGCCATTCCAGCACACAACAGCATGAACTAACAAAGCCTGGAGTCCAGTGGAGGCCACCACCTCACCCTGTTATGTTATCCGCAACTAATGTTGCTATGACAACTGTTCAAAGTAGCCTTATTGGGGACCAAAAAAAAAAAAAAACCTACAGGCACAAATTACGTCCACAGGACATGAAAGAGCTGGTCGATTCAGTCAGGACAGCTGTTAAGCATTGTTTAGAAATCCCCCACCTGCAATTTTAAAAATCATCTGAAATCTTCACTTATGTTGTCGTGAAAGTATATAAAAGTTTCTTTATGAACTTCAATGCAATAATTACATAAGATCCCAAAAGATTGATTCCGATGCCTGTCATTGAAATGTCATTTTTCTTTGTCTCAGTGCAAGTGCCCCACACTGCAAGAGATTTTTGTAGCCCACTTGATATGCAAGCCCCATGAGAGAGGACCTTTGATGCAGAGAACCAAGTGGAGAAAGGAGATCAGAAAGTTTACATTTCACAGTGACATGTGACACACATCACATGGTCAGGGACAAGCAATCAAAATAACAGACAAATAATAAAGAACTTTTATGTTTCCCAATTCGATCAAGAAAAAAATGACTTCCCTTAGTAATTATTTATTTTCCAGTTTCCACATGTGATTCTCATGATAATTGCTAAGTTGGTGAAATGTTAGAACATTGACACTTATGTAAAGCAAAGTGCCTTTTGACTTTTATGAAGTGCTGATTCTCTATAAATATAGAAAAGTGGTAATCATCACAAGGACTACTCGATGGAATAGATCAATAGCGAAGACAAATACTCTTCTTTCATTGAAATTCAGAAGGCAAAAAAAAAGTCCATTTTTTATCTCTTTGATAAACTAGCACATTCTGTGACTTGCCAAATAAGATTTAAGATCAGTGCTATGACACAGACACGGGGAAAATTT